TCTTGTTGAAACCTTTCATCCATTTATACACTTCAGGCATATCTTATCTTACTCTTCGTTTTGTAAAATAAGTAATTTTTTCTTAGTCTCTAAATTTGCAAGATCGGCGGATGTTTAACCTTCAGTCAGAGCTGAGTCAAACTCCAGTACAGGTAAAGCAGCTGGATTACCAAAACCGGGGACAGAATACCTGGTAAGGGTTATCAAGGTTCTTTTAGTGACTGACCTCTCACAACAAGCGACTATCTTCTTGGTACCTAGTTATTGCGAGATGAACAGAAGCATCAGATATTAGGAAACGCATTAAGACATCTCGCACTGCCCAGGAATGGAACCAAGGACCAATCGATCGTGGGCCGACTGCACTAACCATGACGTTGTGTCCAGAATATTTATCCCATATTCATATTTGCAGTTGAAGCAATATATACGTTTCAGTCTGCCAAAGTTCTATGACAAGGCCACTCACCAGTGTGGATGTTGACTTAGTTCTGAAGAATCAAATTCTGATTCTTCAGAATCAGAATTTGCACAACCAAATGTATCAGTTATTTATGCAAGTTTAAATAATTTCACACTTAAAGCAATGTTTTCTTGTCATAAGTCTTACAATTATATTTGTTATGCGCTTTGTAATTCATAGGCTATGCAAGTCCACCCTTCCTTCTACAATAGCAGTGCTGTACATGTTTGAAGATTTTAGTCATTTGTTATGCACTTACTTCATCTGTTTGGTGGAACGTACAAAAATATACCGTTACAGCCAACATATTCACATTTTGTTGTATTAGTTTTGTCGAGGGCGCGAAAATACAAAACCTACCAAACTTCAACATTCCTACACCTAGTATAGCAGTTATTTACTATATTAGACCTATTATAACGTATAATACGCCTAGAATTGCTTGGACAAGTTAGGTTACATTAGGTACTTTATTACGGGCTATTCATGCCCGTGCCACTTCTTGGGTGGCTTAATCTTCATTAGTAAATTCAAGGTAATTTAGTCACTTTTTCATTTTCCTAGAATGCCATTTGGGGTATTTCAATGATACAAAACGTTATTTTGGGGGAGGGGGGGGGGTACAAGAGTTTGACCCAACAGGTGTTATAAGTACTATAATTTTTGGAGAATGGGGCGAGACTATTGCAAACTTTACGTCAGGTCTGAATTAAATTATCGTAATTATCAAGTGTAATTTATTACTGATTATATTAATATACTTTCAGTATAAGAGTCAATGTGCGAAATTTAGGTCATGATAATATGCGTGGCGGTGTTATTAGAGGGCGGTCGATAAGATAGTTCTGAATGGTGTCCCGTCGCTCACAAGATCAACGTTTGTCCAAGGACACCTTGTGAGAACTGTAACATATTTGACACAAGCGACAAGTTCTCTCACTGGTCAGGTGCACCACTGTGGTTACACACACACACACACACACACAAATCACAATGGCGTGATGCATCAAATGAACAAATCCACAAGGGCCGTGACGAGGGTTCGAACCTACGTCCGAGAGGATCCCAGACCACTGTGGTGCTTGTGGTGTCAACAACCACCCTGGTGAATAGTGGTTGTGGTGTCAACAAGCACCTGGCGAGAATAGTGGTTAATAGTTGTTAGAGGACGAGTGTTTGTGTGTGTATCTTCCAGTCACAGTTCTCTACATAGTTAATATATATATAATTACAATCATAATAGTAGAGTCGTTGTAATACTCACCGTCAGTGTTGGCATCTTGACTATTTTCCAGAGGTCTACTTTTGAGACATTAAACACTGCCTCTCATAATATTTAGTAATCGTTAGGATTTGGTAAACAAATCAAAAAGTTGTAATATTTAAGGGATCAGTTACATATATATGCAAATTTCCACGACGATTCAGTTGTCTGTATGTACATACACTAACTAAAGTACTGAAATTACACTACTGCCCTCGTAACTCGATCAACAAGTTTGTAACTACAGTTCACCGCAAATGCATATAGCTTACTTCAAAGAACACCGAAGTGGGTCGTGCAGTTCCCGAAGCCATTGCCTGACCTTAGAAGCTTTCCGTAAGCGTCTTGAGGCTGGGTCTTGAGGTCATAAGGAAGGCATTAAGCAAGAGTACCTGCGCGTGCTGGCCCGTGACCCACACTACTGGAAGCCTCACCAGGAGCCCCGATAATCAACACGTGCTCGGCCACATCACCATGCCAACACATAAATATTTCACCCTTACCCGTTTTGTTTACTATTATATGTAACTCTTAATTGCGACATTATGGATCATTTGAAGTCAAATTTAATGTAAATGAAGAAATCTGTTGTATAATTATATCTGAATTGATTATGTTTTTTTTTTTTGGCTTACATGTCAACACTGTTGCCCCAAGCAGCTGGGCTACTGTTTATGTCCACCTCAGTCCAGCATTATCGTAATTATTGAATTATCGCAATTGTCAACTGTAATTTATTACTGCTTATATAAACATGTCACGTATTACTTACGTGAGCTATATATTTTTTCTTAGAGTTGTTTGGTTTAATTATTTTTACATTGTCTTACAATTTGCTAATGTACAGGATAATTATTGAATTCACATTTGAAATTTGATTTTGTTGCACATACACACACATAACTATTAGACTTAACCCACACGTCTTAAAATAAAGAAAGTGACGACTTTATAATGATGCAGGATGGACCGAAACGTCTTCACTTTCTGTCAGATGTGCATTGGGTGTCTACTATCCAGCCACGTTATTGATTGACTTATTCTCTGTACATATAAATATATTTTAGCCTGACTTTCTTCGAAGGTAAAATAAGTACTATATTCACTTGGCTCTTCACATAAATAATGGAACTCTAGAACTCCATTTCTCTTATTGTGAAGTTATTTCAACTACACAATATGAGCCCTGAGTAGTCCTTACGTTATCAGGAATCGATTAAATAGTTGGAAACTATTACAGGACGCTACGTACAGGAAACGAGACCTTCCTTTCAACTCTTTGACTCAGTTGTGTGTCCAGTTTCCACTGACATTACATGTTCTACCGCTTTAATTTAAATAGGTTTTTTATTCATTCGCCCTCAGGATCTTCTAGTTTTCACATTCCCCGTTTCTTCTCTCTAAGGTAGTGAGGGTGAGCTCTTTCAACTTCTCATAGCAGAGATCTCTTAATTCTGGTATTAATCTAGTTGCTAACCTCTGAACTTTCTCAAATTTCTCTTTATGCTTCAGGTGTGGGTTCCATGCGGGTACTGCATACTGAAGTAATGGTCTCACATAGATAGTGTGTGTATGGTGGTAATGAGAGAATGTGAAGCTCGGGACCACTTTTGTTTCTACAATTATGCATATGAGCAGTCAGCCCATCCTCCTGTTTTAATAGTACTTATATGCATTATCAGAGGCCTAATATACGTAGTATATACATGTGCTATACTAGGTCTAGTAATGTTTAAGTTTGTTTTTCAGACTATAAAGTGAATACAGTAGTACAAAATTATACTAAATGCTGTATATGTCAATGTTCATAAAGTACTATCTAAACAGGAGGATAGGTTGGAGCAGTAGCTCTCATGTTTGCAAACTATACAATCTTTCTCTTACAGCTTATTTCAAGTCTTACTCTACCTCTTTTCCCAGAAAATGTTGTTGTTTAAACAAGCAAAATACTTTTGTACACAAATCTCCATATTCCTTTTTATTTACTTATTTCACAGGAAATTACTGATATCATAATTTTGTTTCTAGATGGTTCCTAAGATAATGGAACTTGCTACAGTTTAACAAACATGTAGTGATTAAATGTAACTTTAATCTTACAATATTTTTTTTTTTTTTATTCTTTTAAAGTTTTGGTCCTAGGTAATTGCAAGGTAACCTCCCTAATACATATTGTTGTTGTTATAGATTCAGCTACTCGGAACAAGCTCCAAGTAGCACGGGCTATGGTGAGCCTGTAATAGTACATGTACAGTACTGTATATGGATAGTCTAGTTGCAGTGTGTGTTCCATCCATTCATCACCCCTGATGGTTTAAGTTCTGAAAGTGGGTGGCCTGTACCTGGTAACATCTCCCCATCATTCTCACCTTGCCCTACCTATGATTCTATCCATGTACTAAACATAGTTAATAACCAGGGACACATCACTAAAACCTGCAATAAATATCAAACGTCATTCATTACACCATAAACTCTTACACCTGTAACACTTCCTACATAGAAACTTTTTAGTTTTACGTAGGTGAATTTGCCTGAGGGGTCATATCTAGTTGTCTCAATAAGGCTTGGCATCTCCATAAATGTTCATCACTTATTTCAGTCTTTCCCATTAACTTGGTCATATACTTTTCAAAATAAACAAAATTTCTTGAATGCTTTCTCTGCTTGTCACCACAATGCAAAATACAGTGTACCTGATCTACACACCCTCTTTTACCATAGTATCCTCCTCATTAATTTCCTGTACACCTCCAGTTACTATCTTGCTATATACTTTGCCCACTAGACCTAATATATTAGTGTTTTTGTTTGTTTCAAAAATTCTACATTTTCACAGTACTGCAGTAGAATCAGAGATTTTCCAATATCACTATCAAATGCTACTAGTAAATTCTCCAGAACCACACCATTTCATGTTCTCGTCTACATTTAAATAATTCCTACCTATACTGTACAGTACCTGCAACATAACCACACTTTGGCTTCCTTAAATACATCACCTGGCATACTATCTTACACTCATCTCACACTAGCAAATCTGAATCATGTTCACATTAGCACCTCTTTCATCACTCCCAGCCAATAGACTTTCAATAGTATTATCTTCCAACATTTAACATTACCTGGTTGATGGGGTTCTGGGAGTTCTTCTACTCCCCAAGCACGGCCCGAGGCCAGGCTTGACTTGTGAAGCAACATTCTCCCAAACTTTTCTTTAACATGTCATTACATAAAGAAAATACATAAATTATATCAGGAAAATAAAAATGATTTTAAAACAAAACAATTTATTAAGAGCATAAATCTCTATAAAAATAATTTGCAGAACATCACTAAATAACTTTAAATGTTTACTTTCCATGTGTTCAGTGTGATGTTGTTTCTTGCACTTTCTGAATGGATTTTCCAAAAAGAGAAGCAAAGAGGGTGTTGATGGCCGCATCATCCATTCGTGGTGGGCAACAAGGAGCAAGATACTGCTGAAGTTTGCTCATAACCTACAAATATACAAAGCATTAAAACAAACACAAATTATATATATACAGTATATGAGAAAATCCTTTTGGGGCAATGAGGTGACTAGAACCGGTGTTCTGGTGATTCCCAGACACCTGGCTTAACTGTCGGTTCAAGTCACCTCATTACCCCAAAATGATTTTCTTATTGATACTGTAAGTAAGTAATTATCAAAAGAAGGCACCAAACCGGGAAGGCTATGTAGCACCATCAAATGCGCAAAATAATTAGAGGGCGCTAAATATCACCAAGGATGCCAATACGAGAACAAAAACGCATAAGGCGAACGATATCAAAAGTATTTATTGATACTGTATATCACACCATTGTGATACAGTATATATATAATATATGCAAAAAATAAACATAAACCTTAACACTACATAATGCGATTAAACGCTAAACCCCCACACTACATATATGTGTAGTAGTAGTAATGGTCTCACTTCTGACTGCAATTTTGTTTGGACTGGATCATTATAAAGTCAAACCCATTTTGATTTCATAATTGTTCAGGATGGACCAAAATTACATCAAATCTCTAATATGGGGTTTTAGTGTTTATTCATTCCAGTTTTGTTGGTGTGACATTCCCTAATTTAGAAGTTTAGTTAAGTTTAGAAGTTTGACAAAACATAAATATGAAGCTTTTAGACATTCTGCAGGGTAAAGGCTTGACAAAATATTTATTCACTTGCAAGATCTTAGATTTTTTAGAACTTTATAACTGTCAACAAAATTCAAGAAACTAAGAATGAATATATGACTATTCATAATTAAAATTTTTGTTACTGGCATATTAAATGTAAAATTTTCTTTTACCTCATATCTAATTTTTCTCCCTTTGCTTGCTTTTTTATCAACTTTTCTCTTGGCCTTTCGTCTTAGATTCTGGATTTCAATCCATTTTCTTGAGACATCTGTCATGTTGTCAGAAAGTGATACTTTAGCCTTCAGCATCTCCTCTAAGGTTCTTGTGTAGAAGTCAGTATCATCAAATATTTCCGGATCATATTCTTCTGTGTCCACCTAAGGAAAATAACATTTAACTAGTGAATTGTACAATATACTGTATAGTTTCTCAATACAGTTCTATTTTTTATTAATCCCTCCACCACCTAATAATTTAAATTTAAAAGTTTGAATTCTTCATTTTATCACATTTTCATGTTGAAGATATCCATCAAGAACAAATCACTAATTCAGTGACAAAAATTTCCCTAATGTTATTTCTTCTCACCCTCAGAACCTATTACTCAGTGAGTTCTAATAATTATCTGGGTATAAAAAAAAAAAGGCAAAAATAATAATGATGGGGGATGATGTTTTTCATGGATTTATTTAATCCAGCACAATAACAACTTCTAGTGTGTGTTCTATCATTATATAGGAGGGTATTCCATGCTGTGCTGGCAAGTGATAATTATTTAACAAGAACAAATTATGTACATAACAAATTATGTACAGTACCTCTCTGCTTGCATCATTAACTTTACCCAACACATGGTAAGTGGTGCCTCTAGTTGCCCCGGTCAACTGAGTGCGGCGAATCAGCTGCTGTTTGTTTGTCAGAATGTTGTTCAGCTGCTGTAAGGCAGAAACTTCAAAGCCACTGAATTTATCTCGTGCATTGCGACTTGAGAGTAGCTTAGTTTTTTCATACCACCTGAAATTTAAAAACCATACAAGTGTTAACATTTAGTGTAGTTCTAGATGTGTGCTTTGAGACACCTCATAAGTTTTTAAAGGTTTCATAGTTTTGCCAATATTGATAAAATAATTTGCCACACAGCAATGCAAATGGATAATGTATATTCCCCAACACTCATACTTGTAGATTCCTTCAGTCTGGTACACTGCTTCATCAGAGACTGAAGACAAAATTCATTAATAACTTGAATGTAATCATACTGGATCAAGATACACAGCTTAAGTGTTTTACAGTTAAATTCCTTGACCAACAAAGCATGTAAGCAAGAGGAATACCCGGAACTTACCTTTAGAGGCTCTTGGAAGTTCAACTCCCCGAACCAGGTTTGAAAACATTTCTAATGCTTGCTGAGAAGGTACTGAACAGCTGTGGACCTCTGATGTTCAGACAGTGCTCTCTGATTGTGCCTATGGCACCTCTACTCCACACTGGTTCTATTCTACATTTCCTACCATATCTCTTGCTCCAGTATATTGTTGTTCCACTGTGCAAATTTGGGACCTGGCCTTCCAGTATCTTTCATGTATAGTATATTATTTGGTACCTCTTTTGTCTCTTTTTCCAGAGAGTACATCTTGAGAGCTTTAAGAATGTCCCAGTAATTTAGGTTGTTTTTCATGTCTGTGCATGCCATATATGTTCTCTATATTCCCTCTACAATATTTCAGAAATCTCTCCTGCTATGAAAGGGGAAGTGAGTACAGAGCAATACTTTAGACGGAACAGCACCAGTGATTTAAATAGTATTAGCATTGCTGTGGGGTCCCTGGATTTGAACGTTCTCATAATCTATCCTATCATTTTCCTGGCTGCTGCTATATCTGCTCGGTTATGCTCCATAAGCATTAAGTCGTTAGACTTCTTCAGTAAGTGCAGCTCTAGGAAATGTTAAAAACTATTACCTTAAACCTTACGATGATTCCGAGGATCATCCAGGCCTCTTGGTTGGTGGTCTGGTAGACAAGGCTGTTTGGTGTGGCTGCTTGCAGTTATTTACAAGCTAGAACACAACTTACTTATTTATAGCTTGATCCCTCAGTGGCAGCAAAGCTGCATGCCTCTTGCTCAGCACATCTTCGTATTCTTCCACTTTCATCTTGCGCTTGGTTCCCCTGGAGCACAGGGTGGTCTCCTTGGCATCATCGTCCTCACTGCTGGTTATCTCCTCATCACTGAAGTAATGCAAAAATCATATATAGTAAAGCATTTATCAAACACACATTATATTTAATACAGTTATTTGTGCCTAATTATACAATGCAACCTCAAGTCAATGAACTGTATAGGACAAAACCCAATTCATTGCAGTACGGGATTTGTTGCAAAGGGAGATGTCTCTTGGATGCTTTTTCTATGCTCTATGGGCTAATTTCACTTGACAAAATTTTAATGTTAGCCTATTTAAAACAGTACTAATGGGGTAAAAGACTTTTTTTTAACAGGATAGCTAATACAAAAAAATATAGATTCGTTAATGATTCAAGCTAATAATTAAGCCTTGTCCATATTATGTCTCAAGGGTCTTCATCTACTTGAAAAAAATGCTAAGCATCTAAATACTATATAATCCCAAACTCTGAGACATGATCAAATTAACAGTGTTACCGTATTAATTAGTAGCTAAAAAAAAATATATATATAAACCAAAAGAAATGAAGTCAAAGAAACAATGATATACTGTTGCTCACCTTTCAGTTCCTATTGGCTTCGGCTTTTTACCAGTAATTATGTGACTAGTTTCAGGATTTTGTAGGAGTAACAATTCCTGTAGAAATATGGATATTGCTCTATATTAATAAATGTCCATGTAAACAAATCTCAAAACAATCTTTCAGTAATGTTCTAATTGAGAGAGAGAGGAAGGGGGGGGGGGGGGCAGCCCTAAATAAACAAATGATTAGTTAGTAATATTAGGACTGAACGATATATTATTAATGGTAACAAATATGGTTACGTACAAAATATATCTTTTCCAGTTTATCCTATTTCAACAGCAATAACACCAGGTATTTTTTTTTATGAACAAAACTCAAAAGCATCTTTTATAATGTAGACTTATGTAAGAATGAATTTAATATATTAAATTAAATTTTTTGTTAAAACAAATTTGATAAAAATGCAAGATTAGCTACTGTATCTACATTACTGTTTATATCAAGTAATATATATACAAAATTTAACACATTATTATTTCTCAATATACTGACCCTTTTTCTTATAAATAACCATTAAGGGTAATATATTTTGGGGCCAAATTACAAAAATCCAGAGGAGTAACTGTCTAGTACCTGAACACTTAAAATGGAGTCAAGTAAATTTTTGGCTGCTGTCTTTGCAGCAACTAGGTTCTTCTTGTAGAGGGGATCATTCTCCCGCAGAAAGAGCTTGTAAGTGTTGAACTGAGGCAGCTGATTAGTTCCAACCACTACCTTCTGCAGACCTATTCTCCCCTCAAACAGATAGTCATGTATTCCTGCAGAGGAATATTATATGAACAAATAGGTAATATATAATAAAGACTAAAAATTATTTTCTTAAAAAATGCAAGGTGTGTTCTGTGGTAATTATTAGAACTTGGCAAATGACATCACTCTATAGAGCTTTTGTTTTATTATAGCCTACAGGAGTGGAATTCCAATTTAATTTTTTTTATGTAGAAATGCATTAAAAATATGATGTTTTTGAATAGCTAATTTCTGTTTATAAAGTACTGTACTGTATATACATCCAACCATGCCCTCACCAGTTTAGGTTTAGAATTGTCCGAGACAGGAAGTCTGTTAGGTTTACTGAGGTCCTCCTTGCCAAGGAACGAATAGTAGTGTGGCTGGACTGAGGCTGGCTACTTTGCCAGCCAACTACACAAGGCACTCTAACAGCATAAATGGATTTATTTAGTAAATTCACTGAAACAAATAGTTCACACATGAAATTGGGTCATTTATCACATATCACTTATGTGAAGTGGCAATGATGCATTGTTGGAAACAGGTACAGTATTTCAAACATCAGTTAAGATTAACAAGTAGTGCTTGTATACTGATGGTCTATTAAGACTTTAAAAACTGCCATAGAAGTATATTTTTTTTTTTATTTTCACTTAATTAAAAAGCCTAAAATACTAAAATATTGCTTGTATTTCTAGGTAAAATTACTTGATGGTCTTAAGCAGTTTTTAAATGCATACTCTTAGTTTTATGGCTGCAACAACATGTTGGTACTAGAAAAGTGAAATCATTATGCATCACAGAGCCAGACAATTACATACCCAACTGATTCTTAACAGCTTGACCTTTCTTTACTTCCTCAGATTGATCTTCTGTGCTGAACTTCTTAAGAGAATCTTCAGGATTATCTTCTTCATCTTTTTCCCCCTCGATAACCTCATCTTCACTTTCATTGTTATCATCTTCATCATCATCGTCCTCTTCATCATCATCTTCATCGTCGTCATCATCATCATCATCCTCTTCATCAAAATCATCAGCAAACTTACTAAAATCCCCATCATTAACAAACCTGAAAATTGACGGATAAAATTATTTTACTATCATTACGAGTACTGTACAGTCATTACGAGTACTGTACTTATCAAAATACACTGTATACACATATTGGTAAACTCAATATAAATTTCATCTTTTATGTTAATAAAAAATTATGTAACATCAAATTTTTATGAAAAAAAAAAAGCCTTTGTTCAGGCCTAAGGCCATTACAAATGTTGCATTGTCAGTAGCATCTTGTTGGCCCTGTTGTTATGATATTGCCACTGATCAAATCCTTTGAATAATGAATACAAAAAATAAGCCATAACAAAATTGGTGTTTTTATCCCAAGGGTATGGGTACTTCCCCCTGTACACTTGTGTACATTTATCCAAGTACAAACAACAAACAATGCTTAGTCAGCACAAAAAGAAATGCAGTGCTATATTCATTAGAAATATTATATTCATATTTGTATTTTCACCAACTTACACACCTATAGTTATGTTAATACCATTGAAATTATACTTTTACTATTTATATATTGTCCAAAGCAAATAAAACATTGATGGGCAATAATAATTTCAATATCTGCTTACTAATAAGAAACAAATATTGCCTTCCAACTTACGTAACATGTTTTGGTTCTTTCTGTTGTTGCCGATGGATTTCCTTTACCATTTTTCCCTCCTCTTCACTATCGTAATTGTCACTCTCGTCACTATCCACCTCATCACTATCTACTTTATTTTTTTTAAGTTTCAATGAATAATTTTCATTTGCACTCTCCACACTGTCTTCTCCCTCAATACTGAAATATTTTGCAAGTGCTGGGTCATGTTTATTCTCTCTGTCCTTTTTCAAGTCCTTCCGCAACACCTTCTTCCCTTTGTAGCGAGGATCTTTATCAGCCTGAAGAGCTGCACTTCTAGCTCGTAGTTTACTTACAGACTGCTGATTTGAATCTGCTCGCTCATCACCTTCAATGGTGTCCACAACCTGAGCTTTTGTTTCTGGCAAGAAAAATTTACGTATTTTATAAATGCAGACTACGATCATTTAAATACAAAAAATATACTGTATATATAGGGTATGTACTAACTAAAGTTTAGTTTTAAACGTTCTTGTATAATGTGGACAACAAAAACAATAGTACTGTATTGTTTATTTTTTGGGATAACAAGCAACTGAACTACATTGAACACATCAAAGATATTACTTAGTTAATTCATTGTGCATCTATTTTTTTGTCAAATAATATTCTTTATTATTGATCTTCAAAGATATTATGGCTAAGTAGATTGGGACAGAGTAAATATGCTGCTTTAATGCATCTTTGTAAAACAAATGTTGACACTACAGATATTTTCAAAATTTGCAAAACAAAAAAATATACATGATTATTTAAGTAAGAATTTAAGGATAAAATTATAAGTGTACCCATTCCATGATGCACAGAAAAGTAACAAAAAATTTCACGTTGGTTCTTTCTCTTTTTAATAACTTTATTCCTTCTCTAACTTACATTTAACCTAAATTATGTAATAATGCTAAACAAACACATGGTAGCATAGCTTAACCTAACATAGTCATTACTTGACCAAATATAACCAAGCTAAACCTAATATATCCAGAAAGTTCAAGAGACATACAAGCAGGAAAGAATGAGTTGCAAAATGAGACCATAATAATTGATGAGCACCAGAGCAGGCCTGTTAGCCCATAGGTTCCATTTAAATTCACTCATTCTCACCTATATACCTATCCAATCTATTTTTGTCTAAAAAATGGAATCTGACAATTTGTTCTGATATTATATCATCAATTAATTTCACATAATGAATTATTGCATTCAATGAATACAGGTCACCCTGTATTAACCTGAATTGACTTTTTAATACAAAAATTATATTTTACTTTCGACCCCGATAGTCGCCATGGCTAAATTTCACAAATATTTAGTCTTTACGCCTACCTTGATGTCCATCCTCATCAACGTTGAATGAGGCCGCTGGGTTGAGGAGAAACTTCTCAACATAAGACTTCAAGGCGCCAGCCATACTGTAATGACGAGCCTCAAACTACGATACTTCTTTATTAAATATGAGGGCCATGCAGGTGTGCTCTCCTGGTTACTACTGGCAAGGTAGTAAAGACCAAGGACATGTTTACTTTATAAGACGAGCAGTGTGAGCCCAACCAGCATGCCGCCACCAACATCTCACGGCTGCCGATAGTAAACACTCCCTCGTTAATGTTTAGCTAAAGATTTTCAGCTTAGTAAATATGTCACATATTTTGATAAAACTACTATAAGAAATATACGTACTTTATTGGTTAAATATTAAAATATAGTATTTTTAAATTTATTTGTATTGCTTTATGTAAACATATAAAGATAGCGGTTTGATAAACAATAGAGCGAGACATATTAACCAGCGCGGTGGCCGGCAGGTCGTCTGCTCCAATGTTGCCACATTGGGCTACAAATAGCGAATTGGGCTACTTTTGAGAGCCCCGCGCTCCCAAATTTTTAATTTCGCTACTTGCTACTTTTTGGGCTAATTTAAAAGCAAGATGTGCTAATTTGTGCTATATCCCTAGTTTGCTAACTGTAGGTAATAACTGAGTGATTGTAACCTATCCACCGCTGCCCACTGGATGGGGGGCGGTGTGCAGGACAAACATATAAATTATAACACTAGCTCTCCACATGTCAGTTGCTTAATTTAGAACCTGTACTTGAGGTCGATCTCGAACCCATTGTTGATGTGACGACTTATATTGAATTTTGTAACTAGCTCATCAAGATTGTAACTTGCTTAGCTAAATGAATTGTGGGGTTCAGTCCCTGAGCCCATTATGTGCCTCTGTAATCCTTTCCACTACCGCCCACAAGATGGGTATGGGGTGCATAATAAATGAACTAAACTAAACTAATGTTAAGAATGTACGATTGCGAGTTACATGAAAGTAACTAAACTATACATAATTGTAATTAATAATAATTGTAAATATTAATTAATACTAAATAATATTATTTAATAAATTAGTCCCAATTCAATGCAGAGTTTTCTTCCAAGCACAGAAACTTGTAAATATAAATACAAGATAATAGATAGATCGATAAATAAATAGACAACTTTCAAATATTGCACCAAGTAATGGCGAGAGGAAAAAAACTAGACAGTATACATTACATTTGAAATTAATAATGGATGAATGGTAATAAATTGGTGTATGTTTGTATGTATACCAGACAAAGTCCATTTAATGGCAGAATTTAGCCATTTTGTGTAAAAACTTTTATATCTCATATTATTAATGATAACAGTAATCGAAAAAGTCATAGTTTGTATATACAAGAGATGAAACAGCGAGCCATGAGCTAGAGCGATGTGCTGAGTCCATAAGGAGGCTGAGCTTCCGGAAATACCTTCCTGTGATTGGCTGTTGTGGGGAATACCAACACTCTTTTATGAATAAAATTTATACTAAGAAATAGGTCCATGTGCACAACAAAAAGGTTGTTATGTAAAAGAACAACAATTTCTGTTTTGCACCTGACAAAAATCTCCATCTAACTGAATAATTTACTCGAATAAGAGGGCAGAGCAGCGTATCATTATTTGTGTCAAGGCAACCCCCAATAATAACGTCTCAAGTTAGGTAGCCAGCCCATGTTTCTGTAACACTCGTTACATCCTGCAGTATTTAATTATCACTATATTAATACTTTTAAATACTTAACATTTCACTTTTTAGGTAGATTAAAGTTGAAGCAGAATGTCATAAGCAAGGATGGTGTGCTGAATAAAGATGATTTATTAAGTGGATGGAGCCTTTAGCCGATCCCTTCCTGTGATTGGCTGTTGTGTGAATGTCAACAAAGAGTTTCTACCAATGATATGCCATTTATTATGCACCCCATACCCACTGTGGGCGGAGCTTGGAACCTCCTACCCGAGCACAACAACCCGCTTTATGGGTTGCTGTTTGGCTATTTATAGTGCGTTGGAAAAAAACGAGATGGCGTTAGTTGTATTTTGTGGGGTAATTTGTTATAAGTGTAATTTGATGTCAACAGATGGCGTAAGCTGTATCTTATGGCCACTGTTGACCAGCCAGTTGATAGTGTTCTCTTCTGCCGACAGATGGCACAGCTGTGTAGTTATTACTTCCGAATTCCCTTTTAAACACTGATCTACAAATCCCTTGGCTTATGATAAGGTTTTATACCATTTATGATAAGTATTAGATAACTGGAGTTCCGCAATTACTTTTATTTATCAACTGTTCAGGATATAATCATATCACGTCTGGTTAGGACGCACTGCTCTCGATTGATGAAGATTAAGCCACCCAAGAGGTGGCACGGGCATGAATAGCCCGTAAGTACCGCTCTCGTAATATTATTCAAGGGGGTGAGGGCACTATCAAGTGAAAGCGCCAAGCCATTACGACTATATAGCACTCGGAAGGGATCAGGATACGGATTTGGGATGGAACGGGGAAAAGAAATGGTGCCCAACCTCTTGGGCGGTTGGGGATTGAACGCGGACCTGTAGGAAACGAGACCGTCGCTCTACCGTCCACCCCAAGTGGCTAAGCGTAATATTATTAAAACAACAATTTTTGCATATAATAACAGCATTTCACACTAAAAATACTTGGATAAATTGAAATTTGGTAGTGAATTCCAATCTAGGAATCTCCTATGACTAAACTGTACTTTTTAATATTTTGATGTACTTTCTACTTATTATTAAATTATTAAGTACTTACTATAATAATTAAATAAATTATTTTATTTAATATTTAAATTAAATGATAAAATAATAGGTAATAATAAATCATTGTGTAGGGGGGACAGGCAGCCAGTGTTTATATACATGTTAGGCTTACACCAAGGTCCCACAAAGGTGCCACAAAGGTGCCAAATTAAAGACTGGGTGCTGCCGGGGCGGGCCCAAGGGCTGCCGGCGGCCCTGGCCAGGCTGAACTTCCGCACCCTTATAATCACCATTGTTTAATAATCTTCACAGGGAGAAACAACTGTAAATATAGGAATAGTTTATTACAACATACACGGTAAAGAAAACAGCTCGGAAACTAAGGAAATAAAGCTGCCGAAAAAAACATTAAAGTCCACTTCAAGTTCAAGTATGTTTATTGAGACAATAAAAAAATACATCTCAAAGGAATAGAGTAGCTTAGGCTATTTCTATCCCCCCTACCCTTCTACTTCAAGTCCCTCAAGGGGCGCACAAATTCAGTGAGTACATATACACAAATCACAATACTGTACAAGAATCCCATTTAACATAGCAGGTTAAAATAGGAAGCACATCATATAAGTGTTACAAGTGAGTTACAAGTTACAAGGGAACAAGGGATATATATATATATATATATATATATATATATATATATATATATATATATATATATATATATATATATATATATATATATATATATATATATATATATATATATATATATATATATATATATACCGAAACGCATGTGTGTGTGTATGTGCAGAAATAATATTAATAAAACAATTAACATCGTGTAGTGTACTCTATCAAAATATATTACTTTGAAACCCATATCATTCACACAAAAAGATTGGGCTACTCTTATTACAAATTCGCTACTTTTAGGCCGTCAGCTCGCTACTTTCAGCAATTTAGACCTGGCAACCGTGGAGTCTGCTCCAGCGTCAACAAACCAGCAGCAGCAGCAGCATCCCTGCAGCATGATGCATGTGTCCCAAGAAGAGTTTACGGCCAGCGTGTAATAATAATTATCTATAAGAAAGACAAAGAGGGTGACAAGACCCGAGGCCGTAGTGTATTGTCCTGCAGGAGGGTGCTGCTAGAGGCGGTGAAGGCTGAGGTATTATGGCTACCGAGGCCAACTCTGGGGTTGGCACAGACAATGAGGTTAAGAATAAATTACTGTTTACGCCACAGGAGATCGATCAGATTGCCAGGTTCCTTGTGGGTAATCAGAGAAGAGAAAGAGAAAGTTTGATCATCCCCAGAAACTTCACTCCTGTGGTGTTTAAGTCGAGAGAAGAGAAAGCGGTGGAGGCAGTCTTTGAAAGCTGTCCCTTTAAAGCTATTTTGTCGTTATTTGCAGGTAATATTTGTATTTATGTCTTTGTGAATGTATCAATGAATATCCTACCTTAAGTCCTTTGGTATTAAGCTAATTGGCTAAGAGGATTTGAAGCAAATCTCAACATAATTTGTTTTATTTAATTAATGGCCATAATCTAAGTAAATAATTTATTCGCGTTATGTATGTTATGGTTAATAATTGGTCACCTATCAATGAGAGTATTATCATGTTAAATTACTGCTGCATTATATAGATGCAGGATAATGCAGGTTTGCAGTCTAACTTAACATACTCAAGGCCTCAAATACTGATTGGGAACATCAGTACCAGTGGGAGTTTCATATGTTGTAAATTACCTAAAACATGCCACCATGGGTTGAGAACTCATGATGGCATGTGCATTTCAAGGCTTAAGTCCTATATCATAATATAATATATTTTTTATATCTGGGAGAAAGATATTTGTTCATTAACCAGAGTCTAGAAACAGGTGACTATCTTATACCTGTATCATAAATATGAAAATGCACTGATTGTAAAATAGAAAGCTTGTCATGAAAACCCATCTGGATCACAAATATGAAGCTAGATGTAGAATATACACTTTTTCTATTTCATTTGATTTGAAAATGACTCTAGAATCTTAATTAACCTGTAATATTTGCCATCATGTAAGAGAGAGACCCTTATTATTAGGGTAATTTGTGGAAAAAACCTATTTTAGTATGTTTTATAGTACTGTACATTTATTGAAAGTGATGTTCACATGGTTGTGTAAGGGGAAAATATATGATTTTATGCATGTAAATATAATATAATATATATGGTTGATAGTGGACCAAAACCGTGTCCCCTATCTTCTGGAAAATTGGTAGGTTTCATCTCATTCTGGTTTCCACATTATGAGAGCAGTTTTGTTATTGCTTAGGGCACAGTCCATAAAAAACTTTGTGTATGCTGTATTTAAATAAATTGCTGTGTATATACAATATATGATAAAAAGTACTATTGATATGATTTTTCATAAATTTATTCCAATTATGAATACCTCAAACAAAAAATATTAATGTAAATATATAAATAAATGATTACTATTCAATTACAGGCTTTGTCCTTGGTGGAGGTATTGGTCTATTTGCAGCCAGTGTAACGCCTTCAATTCCAACACCAGACAAACCACAGCCATCTGCTCGGGAGGTAATATTATGTTTAATAAGTGAATTAGTGATTTAAGTTATAGTATATGCTTTGCATACTGTCAATCTCCTTAGTCTATGCAAATTCAGACTGCCTACATGGCTGAACTGGAACATTAGCCACTGCTTTTTCCAGAAGGCCAAGAAGACCTTGATTAGGATTGTCCCCCACATTAATGCAGTTAGTTCAAGCTAACTGCATTAATGTGCAGTTAATTTTTTGAGCTATGAGATATGCTGTAGTTTGTTACCAAGGTTACCTTTCTTGATCACCCTAATACAACCAGTTCATTATCTTATTGTTGTTATTGCTACTTGCAGGTCTTGAGAGAGCTAAAAGTTTCAACATTATCTTATGGTAAAAACTTTGCTGCCATTGGCTTCATGTTTTCAGGAGTCGAGTGTGCAATTGAATCGGTGAGTACTTTACTGTACTGTTGTTTGATTAAAATGTAGAGTAATGTTTGTTATATTGGTCTGGTATCAATTTATTTTATAAAATATTTGCACATATAACCCATGATAATTGTGTTTATGTCATTATGAAAACATAATGAAAAACATGTAGGTTGAAAGCTCACAAGTTGTTGTTAGGCTGGCAATTGTTCAAAATTTCACAGAACTTTAGTTTGAGCATGATGTGGACCTTTATGACATAAAGGTGCAAAGATAATTAGCACCAAGTTTTGGAGATAATCACACTCGTGAAATGTGGTAAAAAGCATCTCACTGTTTATAGATATGATACTCAATAAAACTAGTATATCTTGCAAAGAGAATGAGTCCCTGGCTTTTGCTGTGGGCCGTGTTCAGTTCGGACATGGGTTGATCGTTCAGACCTCCATCTTATGCTCTGTTCGTTCATAGTTTTCTGCCACCATTTGTGCTACCAGAGGTGTGCCTTCTGTTCTCTTTGTGCACCATGTTACCTTGCACCAAAGCCCAGCTCAAGTAAATAGGTGGGAAATGAAGTTCAGCAGAAGACCTAAGGATAAAAGAAAGCAGTTTTGTTCATCTAAATACCTAGTTTTAAATAACTAAGATTTGCTTCAGTGGCAAATCCTTTTGGGTCATCAAGATTTTTAGACTATGTGATCTGGTTTATCACCATCAATGTGAATTTAGTGTAGCATAGTACAATATTGATATTAATAATAATAGTTTTAAAATTTCTGTACAGTAAATTGGCATATTCCCTCTTGAGCTGCTCATTAGTATGTATGGTCAGAAAATACTTCCATATTACTGAATAAGAAAAGAAATTTTATAATTTATAGTACATTAATGCCACACAGATATGATACAGAAACCAGTACTGGTATTAGTGTGAAATGAAGTGATTCCAGCAAAAATTCTGTCCAAGAATATATACAAATTATTATACATAATCAAGGAATCTAAGACTTTAATATGCAGTATATTGCATTCACTTTAAACTAAGTACAGTATATATCTTAAGACTGTCCATTTATCTGCATTTTAATACATGCTTCTCAGCATATGTATGGTACTCTTAAGCCTGTAACTTGTAATGTATATGTCTCGGCTTAATTTAGTTCCGAGACACACACAGCCAGGTTATATTGACATATGGTATATTTATTTCCTATACTGTAGATAGTTTGGGCATTAACATGGAATGTGTGTAATACATACTGTATGGTATAGAAAATGTTTTATAATTTGTGGATTATATAGTACTTACCTGATAATTTGTTTTACCATAGTAATGTTTGAATTTATTGTATTGATTAGTGAATATATTTGTTACTTTAATAATGTTTAATTTGACAGTATCGTGGAAAGACTGACTGGAAGAATGGCACTTATGCAGGTGCTGTAACAGGAGGCGTTCTTGGCCTTAGAGGTTAGTTATAAGTGCAGCTGGGATACACGATTAGTTAAAAATGCATATAGTTCTATAATATTGTGTAGTTTTGCTAGTGTTTTGCCCTCTCAGATATTTTCACTCAAATAATCCATAAGGTCAGTTAAGTGAACTTCATCACAGTAATATCCTTATTTTCCATGGAACCTCCCAACAGTCTAATCTGTTTTGATACACTTGATAACAAAGTTGTTTATATTTTCCGGTTTCATTTTGTAATGATTGTTATACTATAGCTGCAGTAATAGTGATACATTTATGAATATGTTCAATAGTACTAGTTCATTTGTTTTAGGTACAGGTTGTTCATGTTTTTTCTTTTTCTTTATTTCAGCGGGTGTTAAAGCTGGTGTTGCTGGTGCCTTTGGCTTTGCAGTGTTTTCATTTGTAATCGATTACTATATGAGACATTGATTTTGGCCCTAATGGTTTCTAGTCTTAAAATGAAGTGCTTTGCAAAAACATCTTCATATTTACTCGCAAACATTAGTTTATAATAAATTGCTAACCGCAATATCATGGGTAATAACACTTCATTCAATTGTTAATTAAATTTTTATTCATGATATTATGGTTATCAATTTATGTGACTAGAACATGGATCATCTAACACCTTCATGCTCAAGTGGCACCCCCAGGGATGGCCTAAATTTCCAGTTGCATACCAGTGGGGTGTGTCTGAGATCCTTATTGTGGGTGCTAATGGCCTAGTTGGCAGAACTGCAGGCTGCTGCTTTTATGGTCTATTGTTCAAGGCTCCATTGGTCCAAGTGAATGTAATTAATTTATAATGATTACCCCTAGTACTGCCCGCGGGATGCGTATGGGGTGCATTATAAAGAAAGAAATTGAAAATTTAAAAAATGTGGTGATCCATATCTTACTGTTGGAAATTATATCATGATCACTATAATAGGGCTGTGAGTGATGGAAACGAAAGGGGATCAAATTAATATTAATAATTTTTTTAATTAAGTTCAGGAAATGATCAAAACTGCATCTGTTGCAGTTTGTGAGATTTCTGATATTGTACTTTTAAGTGGCATAAGATAAGCAAAAACCATATGCCTGTAGTAAGAAAGGGTGCCACTTCAGAGAGCAGCGACATGTAATTATTGAGTGAGGAAAAATGTATAGTTAAGCTATTTACAATGTAAACTATCATTTAAAAAATCATTTGTATATTATTTATAATAAAAAAATAAGCCGTAATAAGTATTTCTTATTTTGGTTATGTACAGTGTTGAATAAATACAGATTGTAACAGACATGTTCATTCATAGTTTTAAGTTTCTTGACCTATAAGGAAGGTCGAGCATCTTCCCTTCCAACTTTAAAACGACAAATATTCATTAAACTAGTTGCAAAACATTGGTGCCAAACCTTGGTGTATCTGGTTGTGAGAATGAATGCTTACATTGGTTGCAAAGTTTAAATTAATAGTGGTTATTCCAGTTCTTTATACCGGGTCTTTCTCATTGTACTATTTAATGCTTATCTTGGCTTCATTTAAGCAATGGTGCTACCAGTTTGCAAATGGTCAAGAAGTACCACATTTATAAGGTTCTCTTCACACACACCAGGTAGGTTCATACTCCCCTCAGTGTCACTGGATAGTCGGACAGTTCTCCAGATTATAAGGATGCACAAACTATGTTAAATGTAAAATTATAAACGAAACGGCAACATGTGCTCGGAACTGAGGTGTGACTGCTTGCCTGTGTACAGCTTGGCTGTAAATGCAGGTGCACGATCAAGTTAAAATCATGATACGTTATTTAAAAATATATTTTTTGTGTAATTGTTTAAATGAGTAAAATTAGTTTATGAAAACGGTGTATATTAATGCAACTTTGAGAACTTAAATACTGTACTGTACAGTATATCATAGATGACATTAAACAAATATTAAATGTTTGAAAGGATTGTTCAAATTAGTATAATCCTGACTGCTTCCATAGGATGTCAAACTGTTCAATGGTATAATTCAAGAAGTCCATTAATCAGTTTAACAGTCAATGATGCGTTTGACATGTTCATGAGAGACACAGAAGTTATTTGATAATTTTTTAACTTTTTTTTGTTAATACTGAATATATTTATATAATAGATTTTCTTCTTGGAAATATTATCTTTACAATGAATATTCAAACTAAAAAAAAAAACTTCATTTGTCATCCAAGGATTTCGGTGCTTAAAAAGAACAATTTATTCAGCAAAATTTAATGAAAAAAATATAAATAACGTTCAAGGTATTATGCAAATCATTATGAATTTAAAGATATAAAAATATACAAAAATAGAATATAAAAGATTATATAACAACACTTCCAGAAGATGAATTAGTAGGTATAATGTACTGTATCTACATTATACGTACAACGTATCATGTATGAATCATGAGGGATAATGTACCCTGCTATCATGAGGGATAATGTACCCTATCATGAGAGATAATGTACCCTGCTATCATGAGAGATAATGTACCCTATCATGAGAGATAATGTACCCTGCTATCATGAGAGATAATGTACCCTGCTATCATGAGAGATAATGTACCCTGCTATCATGAGAGATAATGTACCCTGCTATCATGAGAGATAATGTACCCTATCATGAGAGATAATGTACCCTGCTATCATGAGAGATAATGTACCCTGCTATCATGAGAGATAATGTACCCTGCTATCATGAGAGATAATGTACCCTGCTATCATGAGAGATAATGTACCCTGCTATCATGAGGGATAATGTACCCTGCTATCATGAGAGATAATGTACCCTGCTATCATGAGGGATAATGTACCCTGCTATCATGAGAGATAATGCTATCATGAGAGATAATGTACCCTGCTATCATGAGGGATAATGTACCCTGCTATCATGAGAGATAATGTACCCTGCTATCATGAGAGATAATGTACCCTGCTATCATGAGAGATAATGTACCCTGCTATCATGAGGGATAATGTACCCTGCTATCATGAGAGATAATGTACCCTGTTATCATGAGGGATAATGGTCCCAGATCCCAACTGTACCCTCGTCGTGGTATGGTCCCACCCGCTGTGGCCCCTCGATAATGGTCGTGGTCCCACCCGCTCGTCGTGGCTGGCCCCTCGTCGTGGTCCCACCCGCTGTGGCCCCTCGTCGTGGTCCCACCCGCTGTGGTCCCTCGTCGTGGTCCCACCCACTGTGGCCCCTCGTCGTGGTCCCACCCACTGTGGCCCCACGTCTTGGCCCCACCCGCTGTGGCCCCTCCTCTTGGTCCCACCCTATTGGAAGCTGCACCACAAAGCCGTGAGAGAGCAGACAAGCAGGGCCAGCAGTCACGTTAGTTAGTATTGGTATTGCGCCGGCACGCAATGATGTCTGTCGCGCGCGGTCTGGCTCACTCCCAGCAACATACCGGCGTCAACAGGAGATCGAGAACAAAAGTCGCCTTGTCCTCTCTCTCTTGGACCGGTGTAGTTGGGTATATATTCTTATGTCTTCTGCCTGTGTCCTTGATAATGTGGTGAAATACGAAAAACTTTCGAAATTTTTGTTTCGAAGAGCTGGATGAGGTCTTCGAACAGTGATTGTTATATATGTGTATGTGTTTTATGTAAACTGTAGCT